GGAGACCCCGGGAATGGCCCTCTGGATCTCCCCTCTGGATCTCCCCTCTGGATCTCCCCTCTGGATCTTCGCCCCGGCGCGTCCCGGGTGGCTCCAGGGGGTGGGAAGGGGCCGCCACGGCAGGAAGGGGCCGTTTTCTGAGGCAGGTACGAGGTGCTAAACTACTCGGTGTCCAACTCATTCACAAAGCCGGTGCCTAAAGGGACGTTTGAAATTCCAGCGGGAGCCGCGTCCTGCTCTTCCTAAGGTTCTGCTTCCGGCGCCCCCGGAGGGGACGTGTGGCACCCCTGGGACGGGCAGGGGTGGGGGGGGACGGGGCCAGCAGGAACCCTCAAAGCCCCTCGGAGCCAGGCTCTCTCCAGGATCTCCGGGAAAACACCCGTGTGGGTTCCCTGGTGTCGGGGGTTTGTCGACGAGGAAAAAACACAGCTACGAACGCCACAACTTCAGCGGCCAGGGCGGGGATCAGCTCCTCGGGGCGAAGCACACAAGACAGCGGGACTAAGCTACTCCTTTCCTGTCCCCTCCCGGCGACGACGCTCCTTTCCCACGAGTCCTGGGCCTCTGGATCCGCCCGGATGAGTGACAGGTCTCCGTTTGGGCTCCTCTCGGAGCCAGGGAAGGGTTACGGGCGACAGGCACTGAACTGTCACAGCCCGAAGGGGTTGGTGGTCAGCACAGACCATGGAAGCTCACGTTTGATCCACTCCAAGTCCTGCCTTCCCGGCAGGAAAAGCCGCTGTACCACTCTCCAGAGCCGAGGGACGAGGCAGGGGAGCAGCCGGAGGTGCCGAGGCGCTCCCGGAGCAGATCCAGCGGTGCCGACCCCCCTCCATCCCCTCGGCCTCCGCCGGGAGGATCCTTTCATTCCAGCGGAGAAATCACAGGGATCAGGCCGTTCCAGCCCGGGAGAAGGTCGGAATTTGAGAGCCACAAAAGCAACACACCTTTCACTGCAACCCCTGCAGCACCACGGGAGGAGCCTCGTGGGCCAGTCCCGGAGACACGGCCGGGATGGAGCTGCCAAGGAATCTGCTCCCATCAACACCCCCCTCGGCGGCACCCGGGGCTGGTTTGGAATATTTGAGGCCCACAATTATGGCTGGATGGGGAGCACCCGGAGGAGTGAACCCCTTGGAATAGGTCGGCGGTGAAGGGACGGCCCCGGGAGGTCGCAGGGAGCAGATCCCACTGATCCACTCGGTGGGATTTTTTGGGAAAGGAGGGACTGAGGTTCTGCTGCGTGGGCTGCCCGGTCCCACCGCTGCCCCGTGAGCTTGGGGGGCATAAAT